CTCCTCCGCTCAGGCACCCACCGCAGCCGCCGCTGCCTCGCTCCCAGCCCGGTCCCCATGGAAGAGATGGAAGAAGAGTTAAAATGCCCCGTGTGCGGCTCCTTCTACAGGGAGCCCATCATCCTGCCCTGCTCTCACAATTTATGTCAGGCGTGCGCCCGCAACATCCTGGTGCAAACCCCGGAGTCTGAGTCCCCTCAGAGCCGTCGGGCCTCGGGCTCCGGGGTCTCGGACTATGACTATCTGGACCTGGACAAGATGAGCCTGTACAGCGAGGCGGACAGCGGCTACGGCTCCTACGGGGGTTTCGCCAGCGCCCCCCCTTCCCCGTGCCAGAAGTCCCCCAACGGCGTCCGCGTGTTTCCCCCGGCTATGCCGCCACCGCCCACCCACCTGTCACCGGCCCTGGCCTCGGTGCCCCGCAATTCCTGCATCACCTGCCCCCAGTGCCACCGCAGCCTCATCCTGGATGACCGGGGGCTCCGCGGCTTCCCCAAGAATCGCGTCCTGGAGGGGGTAATCGACCGCTACCAGCAGAGCAAAGCCGCAGCCCTCAAGTGCCAGCTCTGCGAGAAGGCGCCTAAGGAGGCCACCGTCATGTGCGAACAGTGCGATGTCTTCTACTGTGACCCGTGCCGCCTACGCTGCCACCCGCCCCGGGGGCCGCTAGCCAAGCACCGCCTGGTACCCCCGGCCCAGGGCCGTGTGAGCCGGCGGCTGAGCCCGCGCAAGGTCTCCACCTGCACAGACCACGAGCTGGAAAACCACAGCATGTACTGCGTGCAGTGCAAGATGCCCGTGTGCTACCAGTGCTTGGAGGAGGGCAAACACTCCAGCCACGAAGTCAAGGCTCTGGGGGCCATGTGGAAACTGCACAAGGTGAGTTCTAAGAAAAGCCACCCCTAACTCCCGGAACCTCTGATCTGATTTTGCAGCAAATGGTCCCCCTCTTTTGCGCACAGAGCATCCTAGCGGGGGCGCAATGCAGGTGCCTTCTATGTTGGCCTCCTCGGTCTGGTGCATTGCAGGATCGTAGGGGACCTTAAACAGCTCACAGGGGAGTTGTATGTCCCCAGAGAATTGTGGCGGGGATGCCTTAAAGAGGGTCTCCCTGGACGCTCTGCCTGCAGCCGAGCACAGGGCGCCCCCTCTCCGCCGCAGGTCTGCAGCCAGCGAGTGGGGAAGTGCTGCGTAGCTGGGCAGACTGGCGCCAGTGCCCTGGGCCGCCAGGCACGTTCGAGGATAGGGCCCGCTGCGAGCCCCCTGGAAGGGGGTGGTGCCTTGCGGACGCAGGGGGTCTGTGGCTGCTGGATAGGCAGACGCGCTGAGGCCCGATGGGGGCTCGAGGGAAGCCGTGGGCTGAATACTGATGAGCCCGCTCAGGGCCCGACCTGGTGCTACCGCCAGAGGGGACGCCGGGTCTAGGTACCTAGATTCCGGAGGCAGAGCGGGGAAAGGAGGAGCCTGTGATCGTCCTGGCAACGCGTCCTGCAGGCTGGGGCTGGGGGTTAGGGAGGGGGATCTGGAGTTGAAGAGGCAGGCCGCAGTTTTCTGCGTGGTCGCGGCCTGAAACCCTCTTCTCCCAACTCGTTTCTCCAGGTTTCAACACCTTTTCTCTTTCAGAAGTTGTGTGGGCAAACTTTGGGACACCTGTTACGAGCATTATCTTTCTGATCTGTTTCGAAGAGGCCTCCAAAGAGAGTGTTTTGAACGTGTTAGACCATGGCACTTCTCTACTGAAAATCCTGCAGCGGTTCCCCAAGTTTCTCACACCATCCTTAAAGTAGTCTACCAGGACCTACACG